TATTTCTTGCTGTTAATATTTTGATTTTGCTTACAGACCACATAGTCAACGTTTGTTTATGGCTGGGTTACGTGTCTTCTACCATTAATCCGATCATCTACACTGTATTCAACAGAACCTTCAGAGCTGCATTCTTGAGGCTTCTGAAGTGTCATTGCAGCAGGTAATTTAGACATAAAGTTCCTGCGTCATACTAAACATATTTCAACAATTTACTACAAAACATGACAGAGAAAAAAAATCTCTTTTTAGGTTATGCCTTCCTGACAATACTTGGATTATTTTTTAAAATGCATCAAAACCGGAAGAAGGGTCTAGGTTTAAAAGACAATGAAAAGATTATACCAACGGTTTCATTAATTTTAATAATATGTTTACAGACGAGGTCATTGCACTCGCTACATATCAGGCGGATCAACTCGTGGTGCGTCACAGCTGTGTGCGCGCTCAGCCCTGCCGCTGGCTATATCACTTCGACCTTCTGTGATGCCAACCACTTCATCCGGGGGACAGGACACTACAGAGTCGGTTCTCATTGAGACTCCCCTACCAGGATTTAATATGCGATATTAAATTAGAGTGTGTTTAATTTTAACATTACCAATTTGAATAAATGTTCTAGTCATCAATCAAATGTAAAACAATATAAAACTAAATATAATTTTTGTTTTATATTTCATTTCGAAAAATTAACTATATCAATGTATTATTGAAGTATTAGTAGATGTGATAATTTCTATTTTAGTATATTTCTATAAAATCTAGTCTTAATGTTATTCTTTGATCCTTTAAGAGATCTAAAAAACTAATTTTGTAAATATGCAAATGTCTAATTATTCACGTGTTAGTTTCAAGTTACTTAAATGACACGTTTAGAAATATGTGCCAAATTCCAGAATTTTTTTTAAAGTTTTGTTATAACGATCTTGCTCAAATTATAAAATCTTGTAAATGATTTTTTTTATTCGTATATTATATAAAAACAAGTAAAAGTTAAAATACTCAAATAATATTAAAATTGCGATGAGAAATTTAATATTTAGCAATAACCTATTTTTTGTCACGTAAACAATTTTTTATGAAATGTCAACTTTCAGATTTGCTATTGTAAAAAGTACAGTGTTCAAAAAAGTTGTTGCATAATGTAAATTTCATGAATTACCCATACGTTATATTTTTGAACATTCTTGAATATTCTCTATGTGTTAGACTTCTTGATTGTCGTGTAAATAGTTATTAAAGTAGCTACAAAACGTCAAATTGTAAGAATTAAGATAGTTTTCTACTTCCGCAAATAAGTCAAACGACTTAAAATCTGTTTTAAAAACTCCTTGAATGTGAATTAGTCAATGGTTAAATATAGCTCAATGTGAAACTCTGAAATATGTAATCATTACGTTTATGAATGTACGTAGAATAATAAATTATTTTTCAAAAAATATAGTTTCAATACAACTCTTATTTGCACCCAGAATACTTTAATCATAATCTTTAATATTTAGTGGAAGTATAACATAGTATTGTTCACAAATGAAGACTAACTTGATTTCCAATTTAAAATTTCATCACCACCAGGTTGACTCTCGCACTTCTGAAACTAACCTATATCAAAATTATTTAGTCTCGCTTTGATTTGAGGTGCGCACACTTCTCGATTTTTATTTGTGCAACTAAACAGAATTGGCAGCGAAACAATTGACAATCGTACATTAGTTGTGCGATAATTATACAGTGGTTTTGGTTTTGATGATTTAGTTTTACAGTGGTAGAGCCCGCTTTAACATCTTTGCTCGAATGGGTCGGCTCGCCCGGTTTGCCACCTTATATAATAAAAAAAATAGTCAAAGGTGTGCGTCCGCTGTGGTCCTATGGTGTTGCGGATATCAATTGACGTTGGATCAATAAATATTACGAGATCTGCTAACCGTTGACTCCTTTATCCTAAAAACCGTAATTGAGTTTTCGTAAGTATTACAATCATAAGAATAAATACGATACAAACATAAATTTTGTCTCTTGGCATCGTAAATTTATAACAAGTGTTAGTTAAATGCGGAAAATTTATAGCACTTGCTAATTAAGGCAACAAAATAATGCTTTTATGTTCCATTTTACAGTCTTGCAGAAATATATTAGAATATTCCATGTTTAGGAGTCACCGTTCATAATTATCACGTCATCACGAGTTTGTCCAGCGAAGGTTGTGTTTTAAAGATTCGGTCGGATAAAGTCCTGATTTTTAAAGTCTTTTTGTTTTTCAATTATGAATACTTTTGGCTCTTATTAGAAAGGCTTGGCCAAAAGGCATGAAATAGAAGTATGAACAGTACGATGAAGCGTTTATAAGGTTTCTCAGAAGAGTCGCCAGTTAGAAAAAGGTTAATGGAGTTATGTTTAGGAAGGAACGGAATTTACTTTATAGGTGTTTTGGAGTCTCGATACCAGATTTGAACTTTTTGCAGGAAATAACTTGTCATTTATATTTTGTGCGTGTATAATATTATTTTGTCATTTCAAAAATACTTAAATATTGGATAGATTGCGTGAAAGGTAACATGATCAAAAAGTGATGACTGAGATGACGTATGATAGAGTTATTTGGAGGACAAAAACCTGGTGTGCCGACCCTACGGGAGTAGGATAAGGAGGATGATGATGATGAAAAATACTTAAATATAAAATACTTTATGAACACCTTTTTATTTTCTATCGTAATATTTTTGCCTAAAAGACACCTATCTCATATCTAAATCCAAGATTACTTAGCTGTTCAAATATATTACATATTTCGACGGTGTAATGCTTAAGGGATTTTACATTATATGGAATAAGTTTAAGATAAAATGTAGTATTTTTCACTCCATCGCGCCTCCCGTCGCTGAGTTTTCATCGAATTATCATTATTCAATTTAGATAAAAATCGATTTGGAAAATTGTTAAAAAAATTCAATATAATTTTTAACGTGCCATGGTCCTAAAAAATACTACATTTAATACTGTTCTGTTTACTGTATTTGGAAGGCAAGATTGAAGACTACGAGTACATATGCCTGGGTTTTCTCTAATTCGTTGTTAATGTTAACTGTGGGGTTCCACTGCCTCTGATCGGGTACGGCCAACAATGTAAAATTTGTTTCGTTAGTTACTAAATAATACGATATGAAATGAAAGAAACATAATAAACTAACAACATTAACATAGATAATGTTACTAATCGAGTTCATACGGATATTCATGTATATTTTACTGTTAACTCGGGTGTGAACAAATTAAGATTATCAGTAATCTGTACATGTGTTATGTAAATTTGAAATGGGTACGTTATAAATTTTAGGAAGACTTTAGGAATAAATTAGGCATGCGTTATATGATTTATTATTATTAACGTTTATTTGAAAGGAACAAATATCGTGTTAAAATTTTAATTATCGATATAATGATTACTATCCTGCACGATAGATGGCGTTTTATTAAAAATGTCGTCTTTGAATCGCGGTTATGAAATTTTGAAGTTCTTGAAATGTTCTCGAATTTAATAACGGTCAAAAGTTTTCGTGTAAATGTTTTAGTTTTGTACACAGTTTTATTACTGTTTATAATATTTAATCTTCAATATTAGCTTATTAAGAACTATTATAAATGGAAATTGTAGCATCAATTGTTATCATTTACCAGGCATAATGTATTCGTTCTACTAATCAACAAAGCTTATATATATTTTTAATAGAAATATGCAGTGTGTACATTTCCTATGCTCGAATATCCCGTATTCATAGTCGTCATCAAACATTGACACATACATTGACTTGCAGCAAACAAATATAAACTAGAGAGCTTCAAGCTCCCGGAGCATTTTAATTAAGCTGCCGACTCGAGACACAAGAACGTGACTTGTTTACCTCTACACGTGGGAGATTGTTTTAAATTCAACGACGTAGAATGTTTTAACTACTTAATCTTCTTTTTAAAAAGATTTGCATCCATCGCTGTAAACTAGACACGTGCCGATGCTCTTGTTAATACTATGATGCATGAAGGAAAATATCGCGATTCAACCTGACATATCTGCAAAGATATGATAGAAGGCAGCCAACCAACCTGCATTGTTGTGTTAACTATGGCCTAATCACTCTTGACTTGGGTAGATTCAAAGATCGTTCGTTGGGGTATGTGAGCTGTCGATGATGTTGAGACTTCTATAACAAATTGAATTTGGTATATTTTATATGATAACAATGTTATGTATTTAACTCAATTGATTTATTTTTATTTCGATGACTAACTTTGTCATTCGTCCATTTGATATCAACCATTCAACAGTTCGCAATTATAACGCATCTGTGGGTTCTTTGATCTTTGGTAGACGAAAATATGTTTCCAATTTTAAAAATCGAATGGAATTACTCTTTGATCGTTTTTAAATCGCGAGATCGCCATATTTAGAAACTCTTTCATCTATTATTAGAATGACATATTTAAATAGACAATTAAATTATTTTTTAATAATTCATTTACATAAATGCATTAATTTACTTACATACATATTTATTAAAACATTCAGTGTATAAAAGGCTAACCTTTTACAGTACCACTAAAAATTTAGATTAAAATTTTGAATCATTTACTATTTAGTGTTCAGTTGTACTCGTCGTTGGTTAATAATTAAAACCGTAAGAGACCTCTGTATATTACTTGCGGTATGTAATATCAATTTCGAGCAGCTTTACTGCGAGCGCTCACGATACTGAGATTACTTCTACATGCAATCTGGGACTTGGATTTGCCGCACGGCGTCTGCAATATTGTAAGAAATCAATATATAATTAAAAAACTATTTTTATAATCATTTGTTGTCAAGTTTATGGCTTGAAACCTTTGATGGTTGTGATATTTTTAATAGTAAAAAGTCAAGAATTTAAATAAATACACATTTGTGAGAAAGATGACGATACCGCGATAACTTAAGCTAAATTAAAGTTTTTCAATGAATAAAAATAATGGCACAGACCACTCTCTTAAATAAAGATTTGAAGGCCACAAAAATACATCTCATTCGAAGAATTCATTTCACTGCAATGTCTAGACTTTGACGTATTCTATACAAGCTCTTCCGCCATCTTGTTTGGTGCAATTTAATTGAGGGTCGTGTCTGGCTTCTATTGTTTGGAACAGAAACCTCTACCTACTATTATTCAAGTGTTAAACATGTTTTGTACTCCCTATCTTTAGTATAAAACTTTTTTAATTCTATTATACTTCTTTTGTTTGTGTTTTTCGAGACTTGATAAAATTTTAATTGAAGACTTAAAACTTAAATTAATAACTACACAATTCACGCCTATAACCTAGACTTGTGCTTGAATGTGGAGGGGACACCGGTAGAGGTAGACTTAGAAAGAGATGGATGGATTCCGTGAAATGTTACATGATCAAGAAGGGAGTGATGACTGAGATAACGGATGATACAGTGCTTTGGAGGACGAAAATCCGCGGCGCCGACCTAACCTACCTTTTTTGACCTACGGGAGTAGGATAAGGCAGGGGAGATAATGAACCCAGACCTGTGCTTGGTG